CTGAAAACAACATAAACAAAGGCAGGCATTTCGTTTGGAGAAGCAAAATGCATTCGTTACGCCTTCCCATGTATTTCGGCCGGATTAGAGAGGGTAAAACCGCTCTGAATTTGGGAGCTCTGCTGCAGGACGTTTTTGCAAAGGAGAAGCGTGGCCAAGAGGTGGAGTGACTGTGAGCACATTTACCCATAGCTAAACTAAACAAAGCAAAGGAAGAAAGCTACATCTCTTCTTTGGAGGAATATAAACAGAGCTAGGACGCCTCGATAGCCAGCTTTTATATATACACATGGCGTGCGAAGGGGACTGTTTATGTTACTACCGCTAGTCTCCAAGAGGTCAAGTTCTAAAGTATCTAAATTGTTGTCTTTTTGTACAGGGTTTTGCTTGGGGGAAAAAAAAAAAAATTGAAGCCGGCCATTTACCTTGCCAATAGTGTGAGTGCTTATAATTAACAGGAGAGACTTGTGCTAAAAGGAATTTGCTTCAAGAGTAACCAATTAAAATATTACACGATGGCTGGCTTCAATCGCTGCTGCTCCTCTCGCCTACGAAGGGTGAGGTGCGTTCCGGCTCGAGCAGGATAAAATGTCTCAGAAATTAGGACAGTGTTCGGTAAACCTGGGGGTTGATTACAGTCTAAAAGGCTTATTAGAAAAAAATAGTATTAGGGAATTCGCAACCTTATTGCCAGAGAAAAGCGCAAACCGCTCCCAACTTTCCCAATGAAAATAAGGCCATAAGGCGATAATTCTTCGCAAAATTGACCAGGAATGCAGCTTCAGGGAAAAAAAAAAAAAAAAAGTGCTTAGTTTGGGTTTTAAACGTTTAGGGCTTGGAATTGCTTTACTGTTGTTTCTTCTTTTCTGTTTGCCTTTTTGTCCGGTATGGAAAGAAGCTATACATAGTCTTTGGTTTTATTTTTCTTTTTATTTTTTAACTAAATATGTTCCCGTAACACTGCAATAGGAGTGTGTTTCAATAGTTAGCTAAAATGTTTATAATAATTCAAATAATAGCTAATATTTTTAATCGGCGAGATGAAAGCCCCGTGCTGTAGTATGGGATACAATATTTATCTTCCAAAACCTGAATCTGTACGGTTGTGATTTTTCTAGAGAACTGCAAAATACGTCTAAAGAGAAAGGGCGGACACACACAATTCAAGTCAAGGTTATTCTGACTCTTTTTGTTGTATTTAATCGCGTTATATTATTTCAGAGGCTTGAACATCTCAAAAGGCTGCGCTCATCTGGCAGGAGAATATTTTAGGTTGATATTTAGTGTCGATTCCGAAATCCTTTCCTCCATCGCCTTCTGTGTCTTTTTAAGTCGCTGAGATGGAAAAGCTTCTGAGGGTGGCTGCGTTTTACCTCTTCCCAGCCCTCACGTTTAGTTTGCCTATTAGGATTAGACGGCTGCAGACCTATAGAGATCTACCCATCGCTGGCGACCAACCCGGCTGTTTTGCATCCCTTGTACATTCGAGGGCTCTATCTAAAGGCAGACCCTGATTCCGACAGCTGCAGCAAGCCAAAATACCGAGGGCTCTTTTTTTTTTTTTCTTTCTTTCAAGACACGAAGCTTCTTCCAGAGGGATAAATTCCCTTTTTCGACTACTATTTTCCTGCCCTTTTGCAGCCAAATTGGCTGTTGTGACAGACTCCCGGCGCCTTCCCAAGCGCGGGGAGTCTTTCTCAGCGCCCTCTCCCGCCCCCCCTCCCCTCCCCGGGTCTTCTAGCCCTGCCTGCCCACACTCCTGGGAGTTGAACCCCTCTAAAATTCGGTTTGTTTTATATCGGGAATATTTTATATTTAGTAGCTTGGTCGTGAAAGAGAATGCAGTTTTGGCGATAAGGGGGTTATGAGGAGATATTTTCTCAGACGGCAAAGTATATCAGAAATTGGTTGACTGACGGTGCTACCATAAATGCCTCTTTTTTTTTCTTTTTTTTTTTTTTTTCCCGTTGAATTGTCTGCGAGACTTTCCCGACACACGAATACTCACATCCAGTCATCCATTTCACACACATACAGTCTATCCACATACAGGTGCAAAAGACTTCGGCAAAACTAGGCTGCGGGAGAGGGGTGTCTAGACCAAGCGGCGGGCTTAAAACGAGCGCGAAAGCAAATTTCCCTGGTTATAATCCGCCGGTACAGCAAAGCAGGCACTTCACAGCGACTCCCACCCAGACACACAAACCCCAAGTCTTTAGCGCCGTTTGTAGGAAGCAGGCAGCAGTCCCCTTTCGTGCCGATGTATCTTTATGTGGAATTCATCAAAATGGTTTAGGGAACATCCCCAGAAATCCCTCGAAAGTGCAGTGCTATTAAACGACGCGGTTAGCCCTACGGACAGCCACATCTCAAGCGATGCTCCCAAGCAAAGTTCGCCCGCAGCCCGGCATGCTGCTTTACCCTCTACCTTAGGGGGGGAAAAAAAAAAAAGGCCGCCAAAACATTCCCATGTCCATTTAGATTTAAAAGTATTGCTACAACTGGTGCCTTGAACTTGACCTTAGATTTGTTAATCCAGGAAATATATTCAGTGAGAGGGGAAAAAAATTCTACTGCGTTGCCTCGGATAAACGAGCATTTTTCCCCCCCTACAAATTCACGATGCAAACATCACACCAGAGTTACGAGATATATAATGCGCCCTCTCGATTAAGAGCAGAAAGCTACACAAAGTGAAATGTCTCAATGCCAAGACAAGCTTGTCATAGATAGACTGTTCCTGCGATGCCAAGACCCACACTTTGCACAGAAATTCAAGTCAAAGCAATCGACTTGGATTCTAAGCTAAATTGAATTTTATAGGATATTGGGTTCTCTCTAATCCACATTGAATTTTAACAATGATTTATAAAGTTTTTTTTGTTTGTTTGTTTGTTTTTTTATTTTGCCCAACTCGCCAAGAAACACATCAGATTTTACTGTACCATACCGCTAACTTTATAGGGGAACCTTATTCACATATCGTGAAACCCACCGAAGTAAAGGCATTTCTTCATCAAGGATTGTTTTAGGGGGCGGGTACAGGAAGTATCACTATACTGGGGCTGTCAAATCAACGACTTCAAAGCCCCAACTTCATATTTTGATGGACTCTCAGAATTCCATTGCAATGAAGGTACCTGTATTTGTGTAACCTTTATAGGAAGCTATTTGTCTAACACGAGCTTAAAATCCTCACTGCAGCTGAGGATGTGATCTCATGCCTCCATATAGCTCAGCCAGCTCTATAAGGAGCCCTTCTTCTCCATTCTCTCCTATGTCATCCAAAGATACCATAAAAATAGCACTCCCTCTAAGACTAATATAGCTGCTTTTTCCTATGCCGGGGTGGAAACCTGCTCACGGTCTCATTTATTTCCCCTTTCCCGACTTTCCAACAAAGGCTGATACTAATGTCACTCCTTACAGAAATCGGGGCACATCAACGCGACAGGTCCTCACTGTAGAGGCCGGGGGAATTCAGTCAAACCCCCTAACCAGACCGGGCTCAGTGTGTTGGTCACTCCTTTCTCTTTCGGTTTTACTTTCCTGCTAAGTGTTCGCAGCACGGTATTTTCACTTTACAAACCTTCTCGTATTTAAACATAAACCAGCCACTAACTTGAGACAATGCCCATTCAGGATTACTTTGTATTAAAATCCATTATCTTTTATGCCTACCCGAGGGCATCTCGAATGCTAAAACCAGACTTAAAACACCCTGCTCTTCCATTGCTCCTCTCCCAGGCTGACTAGAGAGGCCGATTTATGCAGTCAGGAATAAATGAAAGCACTTTGCTTGGTGCGTTTAAATCAAAGCGATCACGATGAAGTTCTGATTAATTTAAACTGGCAGGTTATATCTCCTGGCTGGCATTTTCCTCGCCAGATACACATAGACAACGGCGAAAAGCAGACGGGTTCAACATGCTTCTCCTGCTTTCTTCCACACATAGCCGTCCACCCTCCTCCCCATCTCTAGAACGGTAAAAATAATTTCAGAGGCAAACACATGTCAATAAACCAACCGGGATTAAAACCCAGGAGCCGCATTTCCACGCAACCAGACCCAAATCTTCAAGACACCCCGGGGCAGCACAAAGCTAAGCAAACAGCAGCTCTTATCTACAAGTCTGCCCACATCTTGGGCTCTGACCCCAGCTTCTTCTGGTTCACTTTCCTGCCAGGAGCCTTCTTTACGTTCTACCTATGCTAGAATGGGAAGCAGCACATCTGAGAAAGGTGGAGCCAGCATCCAAGCTAGGAAAAGCAATCTTACTTTTCTCAGCGGGCTCTTCGGCTCTCTTAGCCCAAGCAGCCTTCTTCAACCACGTCCCCGCAGAAGCAGCACTTCGGCCTCCTACACCGTGGGAGAAAGGGAGCGTGGTGGGGAGGTAAAGGGGTGGACTGGGGGGAGAGACGGGGCCTGGGAAACCCTCCAGAGAAGCCTTTCAAATGACCTTGCTCCAGTCACGCAAGGGGCTTTGCGGGAGGACCGGGTGGGTGTTTGGTGTTGGCTTGTTTGCTTAATTCACCACCGAGCCAAGGGGAGAGGAGAAACATTCGGCCGCTTCCAGGAAGAGCATGAAAATCTTACCCCACCATCCAGAAGACTCTCGCCTGTGCAAAAATATATCCCCACGGAGACTGACAGCTAGGATCCTGCGCTGGGCTGTAGACCTCCAGATCAATGAGGATAGATTGCTTATTATTTGGCTTTTCTCCTTTACAGATTAAATATACCCGGTCACAAAGCACTCCTTCACGATCTCTCAGTGACTTGGTTGCTGTTGATTTGTGGTTTTATATAATTTTTTTGTTCTAGTTGTTGTTGGTCTGTCTTTCGACGAAGAGAAATCTAGCCACTAGGGCACATCGTCCTTCCTGCCAGCTTCAGGCAAAACGCAGCAATATCACAGACTAATGACGATTACTGCTGGTATAATTAGTATTATTACTGCTATTTGTTTTTCTCCTCTCTGTTTCTCCTGGTTCCCTAGGATTTCCGATGACGATTTGCACACAAGGTGATTGCAGGAGGCTAGAATGCTGTCTAATTCCACGGATTCCCATCGTACGAGGAGGAGGGAAAAAAAAAAAAAAAAAAAAGGAAAGAAAAAGAAAAATAAAGTCCCAGTGTTTTTGATCACGGGACACCCGGCCGTTCCTCCCCAGTACACCCCGGGTCACCGTACAGTAATGACCGTGGGTTGTGCGCTGTAGGACTTGACCTTTCCTACGTAGAAGAGGGCGCTTTCCTCTACGCTACAGGGAGGGGAGGGAGGGGGGGGGGAAGCGGTGGGAGGAAGAGAGATGCTCTCTTCAGGGATGTTTAATCACAGTTCAGATCTAGGAAAGGGCAAAGCTTCTGCCTTTCAGCACGCCATGCTAAAGCTGTTCATTGGAGGCGAAAAAAAAAGAGAAAAAAATCTTTTTCCTTTTTTTTCCCTTTTTTTTTTTTTGGAAGGGGGTGCGGAGGCGGGAGGGAGGATAGAGGGAGGAGGAAGGGAAGAAAGACTTAATGAACGTTTGCATTTTGTACCCTTGGTCATGAATCAACTACGTTCAAGGAGGAGGGGGCCAGGGGGGCCAGGGAAGGGCTCCCGGCGTGGTTAAAACACCCGCGGTAGGGGCGCATCAGCCCGGCCCCCACCGCCCTACGTCTCTGCCGCCCCACGAGGAAAAGCCAACCTCTGTCTCGCCCCCCCCCCCCATTTTAGACTCCTTTAGCGGCCGAGAAGGCGCAAGGCCATCTCTTCAAATCATCATTAAAGTGCATTAAAACACATCTCCAAGTTATGAATGGCAACAAGCGGCCTTTTAGCGCCTGCCAATATTTTTTTTTTATTAAACGCTGTCTTGATTTTATTGCTAACGCTGCCCACGGAGAATGCTGAAATGCATCAGGAATGGGGGTTTATTTAAGCCATAACCATTTTTTTTTATTTTTGAAATAACTAATGTATAGGCTAAAGGCCGAGATGCTTACCCGTTCGTTCAGAGGCATACAAAATCAGGGCGCTGCTCTGGAAGCTATGGGCTATTTTCTTTCCTGAGCATGTCGATATTGAGCACCATATTTTTTTTCTGTTTGCTGCTGAGGCCATCTCGCCTACCGAGGGTTTTTAAGCAGGAGCCTTTCCGAGCAAAAAGGAGGCAGAAAAAGATACAGCTTTGCAGTTCTACTTATTCTTTTCAGAAATATGCTCCTGTCAAGCTTTATTTCCCATAGCAAACCGCCTTCGCCACTGCCAAGAGCTCGAGGCGGAGTAGATTAAATACCGGCTTATTCTCTTGGTGGGAAAAAATACAAAACATTTGCTGTACCCGCCCGCCCGCCTCAGAGCAGTAAAGGCCACTGTCTGACCATGGGAATTCCAAATCTGAAGGACCAAGGGCGCCCAGAATTAGGTGTTTTTAAACTAACATGCTCAGACACTGGGAATCAAAGTAGACATCGCCGAATCCCACAAGAATTACTTGAAGTGAAACTGAACTAATCTTTTTTTTTGTCTTCATTTATGTTTTGCATTTTACACGGCGAAATACCGCTCAGTCATTACTGTTTCAATAAATAAACCCAATATGCAGTAATAATTTTTCTCCTCTGTCCTTGCGTCCCTCGGCACACCCACTTAAATATTATACCTAATATACTGAATATTTTAATTTCAGGAGAGCTGAGAAAATAGAGACCCTACTTTGGGTTATGAACGCTTTGTTTTTTAATTTTGTGTTTGCTTTCTTTTCAAATCCTTCTTCCGGCATTTTTATTTATTTATTTTTTTTTTTTAATGTCTTCAAGTAAACCTCCTCGCACATATAACTCTGCACAGTGAGCCAGGCACAGTAAGTTCACCACCCCCATTTAAATATTCTCGGTAACACGGGGAATATAATAATAATTCTGCCCGAACTGCGTGCAGGGACGGGCTTCGTGAGGTAATGTATCACACTGTTTAATTATTTTCGTTGGTGATATATTTGCTTGCAAAACATATTAGGGATGTATTTTAGGACTCTGGCGGCAGATTGGTGAGAGGGGACTATGCAATACAACAGTAATTTGTACTTGAAAATGTATGTGCCAACAGCTTTTGGACGGTAAACGAAGGCAATAAATAACACGAACACCCCCCCCACACACACACACACACACGCTCTCCCCCACGCTCCGAGACCACACCGACCCGGCCGAGGGACGAAGGGATGGGGGCGCGGTGTGCAGCCGTGGATTGCCCGACATGCGGTGAAACCGGTGCGAGGGCAGGCAGGCCACGCAAGACCCACACAAGGAATCTTTCGCTGCTCATAAAACCTCATACACTCGTATCCGCGTAGCAGAGGGTTCCGCCGGGCACCGCCGCTCCCTGCAGTCCCCTCATCTTGGGTTCCCGGAGTTCCCGGCCTTTACTCACTTGAACAAGCCACTCGCCCTCACATGGGACATTTTTCGAGCTCGGCCTCGAGTCGGGCCCGAAGAGGTGGCAGCAGGTACGAGAGGAGCCGCTGGCACCGCCGGACCTAGCGTGGAGCCTCCTGAGAAGAGCCGCCACACGCCCGGTTGACCGAGGGAGACACCCCGGCGGGATGGGGAGCTCCGCAGCCAGCCCGATCCCTCTTCTCCGCGGGGACTCTCTGTTGCAGGGCCGGGAAATATGACCTGCTCCTCCGGTTGAAGCCTGCGAGAGCCTCGACGCTGACTTACATGGTAGCAGGGGTGCGATCCAAAATGTTACCTTACTCCTGCCAGCAATCGCGAGTCAAACGCTCCCGTTTTTACCCTGTGAAATATATATGCGGCAGAGCTATTTGAACAGTAGTGGGAATTTAAATTCGCTAATCCACGGTTAGTCTAGAAATGTTTAGCAGATTTGAACGGTAGGTAGTTCAGTGTGAAAACAATTTTTAAACGCTAGGTCCGATTAAAAGTTACCATTAAAGGAAAAAAAAACACAGCAAAACCCAAACCCCTTTTATTTTACTAGTGTCGGCCATATTCTCGTTGTGGGTTTCTTTCAAGGAGCCCTTGAATTATATCGCTCTGGGGCATGGTGTGAAAATAGAAGATCCTGCCTAAGATACGAAGGATTCGAATCCTGCCTATCTCCCCCATCTCCGACCTGCAGTACATGTAATTTGCGGCGTGTCTCATGCAATAATTATACAGGTTGCGAAATATAGCGGAATAAATAGAATTATTCACTCGGAGAGAGAACAAGTGTAATTCACAAGTGGCTTTCTCCAGGCAATTGAGCTCCTTCAGGAGAGAGAGTTGCAAAGAGGCGGAGGAAAGGCGGCTGTCCGGTGCGTGCAGCCAGTACAACGGGCGGATATCTGCCGGCGGGCGTCAGGTACAGCCGGTGCGAGATCGGCCAGAAGAGCCAGTCCACAGCCCCTGACCCCGCGCAGGGTGCAGCCGGGAAGAGAGGCTGCGGGCGGCTTCAGTAACCCCAAACCCAGCGCGGCGCTTGCTGCCTCCCTCAGCCCCTGTGAAAGCCCCAGGCCACGAGAGTCATGGATGCTGCTGGCTCCCCGAGGGCGAGGCGGGTCCCACGCGGGTCCCCTGGCCCGTGTGCATCCCAAGCCCCTACCTCATAGGCATGGGATGTTGCCCTCTCGGGTGATGTGTCCGTGGGTCTTTGACCACTGTTCCAGGCCGCCGGCAGTCACAGTCCTCGTTATAAAGGGCTGTTCCCCGCCATCCTAGAGGGACACGGGGTCACCCCAAGCCACAGCTCAACTGCACGGCCTGGAAACCAGCTGCCATTTCTATATCTCTTCCCTCCTACTTTCTGAGCGGGATGGGGGAAATCTTGCCCAGAATATTCCTGTCCGGCCTCTGAAGCGATGCAGCCGACATTCCCACGCTCCGCAGCCGCGGGTTTTCACGGCTTGAAAAACCACAGCACTCCGCAGTCTCTGCGCACCCCGAAAGGCACACGGCAGGAAAGTTAAAAACCCGCACTCATGGAGCGCAAAGCCCCGACACGCCAGCCTCCTGGAAAACAGATCCCGCTCCCGCAGGTACTTTTCACGTAAGTTATTGCACGAACGCGTTACAGCCAGATCTGAGGGGCAGAAAGCGCTTGGAGCTGATCCCTGTCGAGGTGGCTCCTTTTGAATTTCACAAATGTAAAGCTAGAAGCACTCAGAGAGCGCGGTATCTGATACCCTCTAAATGCACCGTAAAGGTCCCCCAGTAGCTCTAATTAGAGCTGCAGACCACCGCAGGAGACGGGCGGCGAAAGCAAACATCTCTTTGTGCCCGACCGAGCTCTCCCGCCACTCACAGCACCGGCCGGACACCGGCGGCTCCTCGCCCTGCACCTTCATCCCCTCGCCGGGTACTGGCTGAACGCCGATTCTCACGCCTGGCTAGGGCTCATCGGTGTCCTGCCACCACTAGAAAGAGAGAGCAAAGCAGAACTTGCTCCGTGCTCTGCCTTGCAGGCTCAGGCGTATTCTACGCAGAGGGATATGCGGGTCCCACAAGTGTGCGCGCCCGCCGGCAGGGAAGATGCTGCGCGGGCGCGGTCAGGTGAGGGCGCAGCACGGCGGCGGCCACGAGGTGGCGCTGTCGGCCCGCAGATCCCTCCGGCGCGGGTAGCTGTCAAAAGTCAAGGTCACAAATCGGCTGTTTTTTCCTCAAGGTCAAGGTTTCAGGCCTTGCCCGTCCTGTCATCGCCATGCAGCAACTCCCCCCCCCCCCCCCCACCTTCCCGACGAGGCAACGCTGGGCTGGGCAGCTTCCCTTGTCCCAAGGGCCGGCCACTGGCCTCCATTTCCCGGCCAGGGTTGCAGCTCTGCGCGGGTATCATCCTGCACTTCCTCCCCCCGGCCCCCAGCCCTCTGCAAAACCACTGCTCAACATTACTGAAATATTCACAGTTTAGGAACGCTGCTTATGAGGCATGCCAGTCCTCAGATAAACACCATCCAGAAAAAAAGAGCCCACCATATACACATAAGCTATGTAATGGAAGACAACGGTATTACAATATTAAGACAGATACATTATATATATATTTTTTTTTTCTGATGAAATGCATGTAGGTATGGAAAAATAAAGAGTATTTCTGTCAGGGTTTATTACAGTGACTATTTTATTAACAGTATTAATACTACTATACCTGTCTACACGTCTTGGGTTTTCATTTTTCAGTAGAAATATAAAAAAAAAAAAAAAAAGGGTGCACAAGTACATTTTCACAGTGCGCTGATTTTTTTTTATTTACAAGATAGCTTCTTATAGTGAATAAAAACAAAATAATGTGCTGGTTGAAATAACTGATTGGATTAAAAGGTGCTGTAAAAAGAATCCCTAAACCTTCTACTGCGGCCTCATAACAGATAATAAACAAGGAGAAACGACTAATTACTTATAGATCAAAATATAGATTATATAAATCAAAATACTTCTGGGAAAAAATGCATTTCAGTTAAAAGTTCTTGGATTTTTTTTCTAGGAAGGGTTTGGTTTTTTCCTACTGTAAAGAAATGCCAATGTTCACTGGTTTTGTATCCACCCAGAGTCAAACATTAAAAATTTTCCAGGGACTTAGAGTATGAATTCTTGAAGATTATTTAAGGTTTATAATAGGCATAGTCCTTAAAAAGATATGGATTGTACGGTCTCCAGGAGAAAAATAAACAACAACAAAAAAACAGTTCAGATGACAAGAAATCATCTGTTGAAAATAAAAATTAAAACCGAAAGACATCTCCAAGCAAATGTTTTCCTTCCTATCCCCACTACTTCACGATGTTTTAGAATTTGCTATCAAGATAGATCCTCCATAGAGCTTCCTTCATTACTGATGTCTCTGAAATCCTTATTCAGTACCTTCGAAGTTTATTATTATTTTTTGACATTAAATGCATTGTTTAAAATCTTACAGTAATTGTTTGGGTTTTTTTTTCCCCACTATGGTTTACCTGAGCAGTCATTCAACATAGAGTTTGGATTGCAATGGAAGAAAACCAAATTATGTGTCCACATCGACATCCTCACGTTAATCACCTCTTGCATTGTGGCCACGAAGAGTCTTCTCAAATAATAAGGTCGTAGAAATACTTACAAGTTTCTCAGAAAAGCGTGTCTTAACTGCAAGTGTATCTCTCGGTGCTGGGCGGATGGGCTTTCCAGTCTGTCAGTGATACTGGCTGGCTGCTTGGGATTTCAGGAGAACTGTCAGGTTTAGCCATTTTTGCAACAGCAATATTAAAAAAAAAAAAAAAAGCAAAAGTAAGGAAAAAAAAAAAGAAGCTATAATTCCAAAGATACAGATTTCTTGTTCTGAAATAAGAGGTTCATTGTCTTTTCTCTGTTTAATTATTATTAATAATTATTTTAATCTGAACACGAAAAAAAATGTTCTGAAACTTTTGAGTTGCTGCTTCTCCATTTTTAATCCATTAACTGGTGGTCTTCAATTTGTTGATCACTTTTTTCTCTTTGACTCTTCTGTTTTGGAACCAGATTGTGACCTGTCTCTCTGATAGATTTGTAGTCGCAGATATCCTCCTCCGTTTGTCTTTGGTTATGAATTTATTTGTAGCGTATTCCCTTTCGAGTTCTTTTAACTGGACCTTTGTGTAAGGCACTCGTTTCTTTCTCCCACGTCTGTACGAGTTCGCGTCCGAGGGATGCGAAACGACGTCTGGAATAGAAAAACCACGGAGGGAAGCGTTAGAAAACAGCTCGAACCGCTTAGTACATCTACAAGAGGTGCAGGGCTGAGAGTTACAGCGCAGTCCCTGCCTGTCCCGCTCCAGCCCGGCTGCTAAAGCTCGGCTTAGCCTCCGGGGTTTCCGCTGCCTGGCCGCCGCAGGCAGCTTTCAGGCACGGGAGGGCTCGCTGCTGTCAGACAGACAGTCACGGCCACAGACTCGAGGGAGAACCGCGCGGGGCTGCAGCCATTGCCCTAGGCTGCGTGCTCCGGCACTTACGGGAAATAGTACCGCAGCCCTCTCTGCGGCCCTTTTCAGCTGTTTCCTCTCCCGGTGCCGGCAGCAGGGCCGGGCGGGCTAGGCGGGATGCGCCGTGAGCCTGTGGGGGGCAGGGGGCGGCACCGGGGCCTCTCCAGCGGAGCCGAGGCATGTGCGAGATGGGGCCGCGGATAGCGGGAGGGGCGGGGAAGGGTCAGCCCGGGGATAATCCTGGAGCCCCGCCGGCGGAATACCCGGGAGGAGTGAGTGGGGGAAGAAGAGAAGGGGGGTGGAAGTTGCAGGGGAGCCATGCAGGTGTATTACCCGGGAGGGTGGATTTCCAGAGGTGAGGCGGCTGGGTCTGCTCCTTGGGGCAGTACACTTGCCCATTCCACCCATTGGTGATGGCCCAAGGCTGATAGCTGTCCATGGGGAGCAGGGGGTCGTGGCGCGGCTCGCCGGGGCCGCCGATGGCGGGCACCACAGGCATATCCAAATAGCCGGGCACCGGCTGGTAGGGCCCGGCGGCGTAGCCCTGGTAGAAGGCGAACTCCTTGGCCCGCGACGTGAACTCCTCGCCGGAGACCGAAGTGTCCATGTACTTGTCGGCGAAAGTGGAGGCGGGCTGGGCGCAGGATTTGATGGCGTTGTGGTGGGTCATGCGGCAGGGGTAGTAGCCGCTGCCGAAGTAGCCGTAGGGTAGCGCGGCGCCAGAGGAGCTCTGCACGGCGGCCGAGCAGGGGCTGCACTGCTTGACAGCGGGCTCAGCCATGCCGGCGGCGGGGGCCTCGCTGGAGGTGTAGGCAGCGGAGCTGGGGGCGGCCAGGGGCGCGGGGTGAGCCATCAGGTTGCGGCAGGGGTTGGCCGCCGCCGCCGCCGCGAAGTTGCTGCCGGCGTGAAACCCGTCCATGTTCTTATTGATCTCATCCAGGCTGTTGTCGTAGAGGAACATGACGGGCTCGATCCAGCGGGGGTGGAGGAGCACGGAGGCTGTCATAGCCCGCTCCGCATTGAGACTAGTGGCTCTTTTTTAAAAGCCCCAAAGACTGAAAAAAGAGATACTGAATCTGCGGGACTTGACCAAGGCTGACGCGCCAGTGTCGCGCCAGGCCGGCCCTCATTGGGCCGCGCTCCCCCACGTGATATGCAAAGCAGCTGATAAACATCTGAAGGAATAAAGTGGAGATAATTAAATAACGCCATAACAGCGCAGGGCCGGGTCCCGGCACGGGGGCGCGGGCACGGGCAGGGGGGCGGGCACGGCGAGGTCCTGCTGCAGCGCGGGGCGCGGGTGCGGCGGGGGGAGGAGAGGTGGGGGGGGACCGCCCGTCAGCCCTCTCCCTCCCTTCTTCCTCCTTCCTCCCTCCGGCCCTCCCACCCTCCCTCGCTCTCTCCCCTCGCCACCGAAGAGTGAGCATTTTGGCCCCGTTGTTGCCTGCGGCACTCTCCTGAAGGTGCGGGGCTACCCCGGCACCCCGCCGGATTTCTCCCCCGCGCAGCTTATCCCCGCCCCGAGGGCCGCGGGAGCCCCGGAGTCCTCCCCTCATATACCGGGAAGGGGGCCGAGCCGCACCCCTCCGACCTCCCCGGCCTGAACCGGTGCCTCTGCCCGGAGATGGCTGACGGGCTCCCGGGCCGTTCCCCGGGCCGCATGCCGGGACAGATAAGGCTCTGGAAACAGAGCCTCAGGGTCCTTTCCGGGTGTTTTCCTCCTTCCTTCCCGCCCGTCGAAAGCCCAAGACCCATCTCGCTCCTCTTGCCACAAAGCCTCAGAAGTCAGATAAGAGGAACAGATCAGGAAATCACGAATTTATGTATTATTATCCTTTAGGACGCGCTCGGGGAGCGGGAGGGTTAACTGGATCTCCATCGCCACTCTGCTGTATTATTCGTTGCTGTAATAATAAAACCCGGGGCCTACAATTCGTCTTGAATCTTTCTTGGCTATAAAATACCATGTAGGCTTGTACAGTGCGCACACAGTCCCACGGCGCTTTTTCGTGCTGGGAAAAATATGGTTTATTGGCTGAAAATTATTCTTTTTCAAGCTCCTACCTCTCTGCAGGCGAAAGCTAAAAAAAAAAAAAACAAATCCCAAACAAACCCACAAACTTACAATTGCTTTCCCTTTTCGTGATAAATGTTACAATCTTTCATAGGGCCAAATAATTTCAATTTTTAATATTCTCCCACTCCCACCGGCGCAGATACATTTCCCGTCTTCATTTGCGTACAGCCTTGAACTCTAAACCCTCCATCACTGAGCTATCAATAAACTTGACCTAAAGCAGCGTTCATCTCGTTGTTAACAGCTCTCAGCCTTCTCGCATGTGGACAAAACAGCCCCAAATACTCCCATCCTGAAAACTAATTCTATTCCCCACACACACAATTGCATGTTGCTTTGTTTTGCGCCTGACAGCTCGGCGTATTTATTATCCTATTGTGCTTCCCATTGACGTTGTCGCATTGTTTTGCCCGCATGGCTACAAGCGCAGAGCAATCCCGGGACGTACATTGTTACCGAGCAGGCTTTTCCTTGCCTAGCGCAGAGCTCCCGGTCATGAGAAGTAGCCCTTTGGCGCCCATGGAGTTTTGTTTTATTTCTTTTTTCAAGGTGCTTTTTCCAATGAGTTGGGATACCTGGAGTCGCTGTCATTCCCCTGCTAATTTGGCACCGGTTTAGCCCTTTTTTCCTTCGTTGTAGCCAATAAAGAGTTCCCATCCTGACTTTGCATACACTTTTCCGCATTCTTCCTCATGGCCAAAAGCAAATATTTATTCCCTGCATATTTCTCCTTTTTTTTTGAGGCTCCAGTTTTGAAACCTGTGGATTCCCCAGGCCAGACATTGCTTGGCTGGCATGAACTGGGTCGGTTTGTTTCTGTCTGTTATGCTCGAGGCTGCTTCTGAAAATCGCGTTGCAAAGGGGGGGCGGGGGGGGGGGGGGGGAGGCAGGGGGCACTAGGTGGTAAAGGAAGGCAGCTCTATGGGGCAGCGTTGTTTTACATACGGGTTAGACACGGCTAGAGGCCAAGGTCAAGTTGAAAGTTGCAGTCTAGCCAATGTGAGAACTGTCATTCACAGCCCTAAGATCTGTCTGATTTGTTAAAAAACGGGTAGCCATGAGAATATTAATCTCCACATCTCTCCCCCTCCCCAGTTCGGCCCCCTTTTGTAAACTCCTCTCCTTCAGCCGCGGAGCTCTTCTCCCTCATCTGACCCTGCTTTCCAAGAGACTTTCCATGAGCAAGGAGAAGCCGCGTAGAACTGTAGCTTTCAGCCCCGGTGCAAACTGCACAAGTGGTAGAGGATTGGGGGGGGGAAGAGGGGGGTACAGGGAGAGCATCCGATCTACTGAGTTTTAGTGGTTGTTTTTTTGTTTTGTTTACCCACTTGGGGCTTTTCCAGCCTTGTGTGAGAAAGGGAGAAGGAAGATTAGATTAAAGAGCTTTTCTTTTCTCCCTTCCCTGCATCTCTCCCTCGCTCTAGAGCTCAATTTGATCATTTGGGAAGAGGGCCATGCTTTTCATGGTGATAAGAGCAATGATACGACTGTCCCTATCCCGTTTGCTATGGCGGGGGGGGGGGGGGGAGTCAGGCAATGAGACCGTTTCCTCAGAAGAGGCAAAATGGCATCTGCAGGGCGCGTATGCAGCAGCAGCATAACAGTTATTGTCGGATGCGGAACTTTACGCCTTTGCTTTGCTTTTAGAATTTGACTGACTTTTAATAAATTCTTGACACCAAGAGAGGAGAAAAGCCTCGTCAACTACTTTAGATTTCATATCACACCCCCCCCCCCCCCCGTAAGTTTTCATTCCCCAGCTATAGTTCCTTCCTGCCTTAAAGGGTATTTACCATTAAATATTAGAAAAGAACGGTGAGGGCTGAAGGCATCGAGCAGAACAGATGTTCTTCGAAAATCATGAACCCTGTATTGAACACCAGGGATAAAAATATGCCCGAGACAACCCCCGCCTTGCACATATACCGTTCCCTACCGATTGTGGAAGAGCTTTTATTTTTTGCAACTTAAGTCTTAGGGTGCGCTGGATAAATTAACCAAAAGGCAGAAAGAGTTTATTGATTGATTTGGCCGTGCTCCACAAACGCTTCATTTTGGGACATTAACTTGATAATTGAATGCTTCCATGCATGCAACCGACAGACCAATCGAAGCTGCTGCTTCTGCTTCTTGTTCTTGTCCTTTTCTTTTTTTTTTCTTCCCCTTTTTCGTCCGAAATAAAGTTAGGATATAGCAAATAGAAACGTATGGTAGAGTCTCAACATTTTTTCCAAGAGATCTGATGCAAACTTCCGAACTGCTTTGCATTTATATAGCGTATAAAACATCTTGGAGAGAAATACATCTGTTAAAACGTTTCCTTCAAAACGACTATTAATTCCTTAGGGAGCAAGGGGATGAACAACCATGATCAGCAGGAGGATTTTAGAAGGTACTGAATCCTTTTGGAGCCTGGCAATTTCTCACTGATTTTCCTATTCGGCGGCAGCCCCACCTCGTAGTGCACGGCCATACCCATCTCAGGTACTACAAAAAGCTTTAGTGGCGTTTTCTTCCCTTGGCTGCCCTGAGAGTGGTCGGATGTGTTTGACCCACTTCGCAGGTGTGAGGGTGGAATTTTGCCCTTACAAGTGTTTTGAATCAGGTCATTGTGTATTCCTGGCACCGTAAAGCCAAAGATAGTCTTGGCATGGTGAGGGCTGCGGGATTTCGGCCTTAAACGAGAGCATATAAATAATTTGTAAATCTCCCCATGCGATAGGAATATGGCCACTTACTTTCCTAAAGAGGCCTTAAAATTTCGCTTTCCTTAGAGAAGCAAAAAGTGTTTTCAGCTAAATATCAGCTTTTGCAAATACGGAGTTTGTCGACAGAGCATATAGAAGGTTTAGGGTTTTTATTTTTCCAAGCCAGCCTTTGTGTGGTAACACCCCCATCCACCCTCCGGAGCCCTGCCGCGGGAATGCCCGGCTGAGGAGAATTCTCATTTCTTGTAGGATAATCGCAATCGTACAAATAGAGCAGAAAAACTATCGCCCAAATAAATCCACTCTTATTTTTCCATCCCCTTCTTAGAGCTAATTAATGAGCATTAAGTGGGGGGAAAATCGTGGCTGATTGCTGCAAATATATGTTTGTGACAGAGCTAAATCCCCCTAAACCCGCTAAAAGGTCTTAGCTGATAATGGAGGAGCTAAACGGTGATCTTGGTTACTACTAATAATCTCGGTCCGGCAGAGCCCAGGAGTCTTGGAAGACGCGGAGTGAAGTGATAGCAGGAGCAAGAACCTTAATCGAACTTGATTTTCATGAGCAAATGAAATTTACCTGCCAGAAGGTTAATTTGGAGCAGTACAGTCACAGATGTTTTCTTCCACAATTTCTAAAGCAACAAGGATTGAGGTAAACATTCCTGCCTCCGTTTTAAAGACACTTTGTATTTCAGGATATTCATGTGTTTCTAATGGAAGTAAGCAGCTTTACGAGCGGGGTTTCCAGGACATCTTAACTCTCTCCCTCCCACTGCGAGCTAAGGGGCGGGGGGGTGCTTAGATAATTACAAAATAAGAAGCATTTGTAAAAGCAAATACGGAAGGAGAAGAGTCCGAGAAGATTTCCGAAGGCGTCTCAAAAATCCTCAGGAGCACATCAGGTACGGACCTACCTATTTCAGTCCACCCCAGCTTCCAGACAGCGCTTTCTGTAAATGAGGTGTGCTCGAAAACAATGTAATTGCTTTCACCAGAAGTGTGGGACACGGACTGGTCTTTATGGAGCCAGGTCTCAGCAGATCGCTTCACTCCGTGCTATATTTTTTCTCTGTTTCAGCTCTAGAAAATACGCTGGAGGTATTTCACATGATTAAAGTGAAAACGGGAATGATCCTGATCTCTGTCTCACGGTCAAGGTCTTTTTTCCTGCTTTTTTTTCCCGGGGGGGGGGGGGGGGGAAGTGTTGTTTTACATTTTTATCCTGTAATTTTTTCACAAGCGCATTTCCAGGGAGGGTGCGATAGCTTTCTGTTTATATTTGGCCGGTGAAAGCAACAGAAGACTGGCGTTACGCGGT